AAAAATGTGGTTTCCATTAGATTGTCAAAATTGACAATATCGACATATATTGGATAAAGTTTTGCATTATTCTAATTTCTAATATCGCTTATTTGGTTTTCAAAATGATTGGGTTCATTTTTTCGATGACGTCTTATCTTCCAAGCGTAAACAAACTATAAATGTATTCATTTTGGCATCGACTTGCATAAAATATTCGATAAATGGGAAAATATGTAAGCCCATTATGTCGATCTTATGAAGATGGTAAAATTGTGCCTACTTTACATAATTATCCATATAGTCGCGATTGCGCATCCAATGAGTGGCATATTCTCATTTCGATTTCATTATCGATATATCAAGAAAAATGACTTGATTAGAATAGCATTCGATTATTTTGTTTTGTGCGGTAGCAATCCAATCGCAAAATCAGTATGCATAAAATATGTTCAGCGTTTCGGTGTTTTCCGCATGTTTACAATATGGCTTTGCAAACGAGCGGTTAACTTGTTGTTCGGTTTTGTGATGACATCGCGACAATATCGATTTTTTTTTTGTTTTCCTCCCGTTCTGATAGATCCTCTGCTGCTGGCGATACTAAATGCTAATGCGATGCTATGTTTCCGTCAAGTGTTGTTGGTGTGCATGTGTTGTCGTAGGGGACAAGGAAAATATTTTGATTTATAATATTCAGCTATGATACAGAATAAATCAAATGTTTGGTTTAACGCTTATTTATTACACCAAGCCGGAACAATGTGCACGATGCGACTCACAAGATTTACAGGCCGAAAAAATGGAATATCTGGTTCACTTCAGATTTCAAAGTGTACACATTTTCTCAGTTGCAGTGAACAATCGAATTTCCGTTTTACAAATCTTAAAATGTGTTTCCTTGGAAGATGACGAAAATAAGTTAACTCTGGGTAAATATTCAGCCAGTTTTTTTTTCTCTTGCAATTGAATTTCGGGAATTTTTTGAAGAAATGTTTTTATCATGAAACTCGGAACATCCACCAGAATGGAATTAAATATCAACCGTTTAAATGCACCGAAAGATACACCGAATTTAATAATCAAGTGTGTTGCGACGTCTTCGTTTCTACTTGATATATCATTATGTCAGCGGAGTGAAAAACTGCACCACATCGTGTATATATGTTACCTTTTACAATGAAAAAGAAACCCCTAACCGAATTCTAGCGGAATCATGCAATCACATTTTGCTCTACTTAAAAATTTATTTTTATGATTGTGTATTTCAATTCACCTAATGCATACGGTGGAAACTTTTAATGCCCGTTGATTTCGTCGTGTGTGGTTACAATAAGATTTGGATTAAATGCCAGAAATGGTTCCTTTTTTTATTTCCTTTCTCTTTTGCCAGCAAATCAAGAAATATGTATCTTTTTCTTTATACAACATACATTGATATACGGTATTGCGGCAAGAAGATAAATAAACGAAACACCATACATTGACAAGTAAACTCGGTAACGCAGTCGTGTTCTTTATCTGGATAGAAATTAATTATTTAGTTGGTTGCAGTTCATATTCAAGCATTTCATGGATATCCATCTGGATGAGAGATGCCTCAACCGCTTAGCAATGCCGACGCATTCCATGAACTATCATTGTGTGGTATTTGGCGAAGGTCGGAATTTTGTCAACATTGCGTCAATTCACGCATTGAATAGATAAATACATACAAAGCCACATACATCAAAATCGATATGAGAGCATGTAATTTTTGCATCTTGTTTGTTGTCATTGACCATTTTATGAAAATAGGTTGAAATTCGGTTGATTTTATTTGCAATGTCCACATTTGTTCAACTTACAAACGTCGAAGAGAAGAAAACGAAGTCAAGAGAACGATGTTACCACTGGAAGTCATCTGAATGCCGATTCGGCATGAAATACAAAAGAAACATAAATATTAACAACATTTAGTACTTATGGCAGAGTATGCCGCAGCACCCTTTCCGCTACAATTGCACTTACACCAAAACAACAACATACAACAAAACTGACGTATTCGACCGTTGAATCACATTCGTACGTATATATTTTTTGTTCGGCTTGATGTGAAGAACAAGAGAACGAAGCATTTTTTATGAGCACCCAGGACGATCGTAAAAATGGTAATTGAGATTTATTCGGTACGGTAATAGTATACGGTGTTCAGTTTTTGATATACCACAACCAGAATACATTTTATTTCAGAGTTACCTTTGCATGCCAAATAATAAATAAGCGATTTGAAATTACTTCTATACAAAATGCAAAACCGAAAGAGAAAGAGACATAGTGCGAGAGAGAGAGAGAGGGAGCGCATTCATCACGCAAAGTGCCTTTGGAAAATTCAACGCAATGAAATTCATCAGTGTATTGCTTTTGCATTACCTGACGTGCATAGTTGTGTATTATGTGTGTGTGTGTGAGAGAGAGATACTGGCTCACCAATCGCGCTAATTTGTATAGATTTAAGATTACCAAAGAAAAAAAACGAACGTTCAATGTCGTGTCGAGATATATTGACAGTGGATCACATCAATCGCTCTGTCATGAATTTTTTATAAAATGGAAACAGTCAAACAAACTAATGAGTTTTATATTTGAAATACACACAGCCAAACAGTGGATTACCGTTTGGATTTAGTGGCATTTTGTCTTTGCCAAGTCGCATCATCAATCGATATCACACTAAACTTTCGTAATTGAAAATTATTTCGACGTATTAAAAAATTATTACAGGTTTTCAAAGCGATTTATTTTCATTACAGATTTGAGTTATATTCACCTCGAGAAAATTCAAATGAGAAAAGAAAATCGATTTATAAGTTTTATCAAAGTTTTATTTTTCAAATTACTCTCAATTTTACCGCATCAACCGTTTATATTGAATAGAATTTCACGAGAGCATCGAATTCATTAACCATTACCAAATGCCTTGTTACATGCCATTTAATGCTGTACACATGTTTGTGCATTCACTCCCCCAAATACAAAAACCGAACAATCAAATTACATTATCTGTGGCGGCGTTGAGTTCGACGTGTGTGCGTATGAGTGCTACACACAAAATCAAATAAAATTTTAAATTAAAACCCTTGTGAATTTTAACTTTTCTACCTAAAACGATAGCAACGTCGAACTTCGTATTTCGACAGCACATAGCAGCAAATGTGTGCTCATAATCTGTGTGATATAATTGGTTTAATGTGTGGTCAAATGTCGGTAACCCCAAATGGGAAATGAGTTGTGTGTATCTGGTCAAGCAACACAGATCAAGAGATTTAAAATCATTTCGGAATGGATTAATTTGACCAAATTTAATATTCGTTGTCAAAAACCTGGGAACGGTTTTCGTTCTTCGTTTGGGGGATTTGACTAATTTAAAAATCAATTTTGGTAATTGTTGTAAAATGTTTGATTTAGATTTGCCTATACTTTACTAACATGCTAAGCCCGCATTCATGTTACTGTTGAACCAGGTTTATGTCGTGCACTACTTCGCCGCCTGTATCTGAATATGTTCTTCCCTTCGATTTAACATCTGTAAAAAAAGTCATGAAATATATCTAAAAACATTCTTTCTTTCGAAAAGTCATTTTCGCCATGCTTTGCCATCATCGTTAGTACAACAAGTGCTTTCTATTGCCGGCATTTACATTGCGAAATCATATTGCAAATCATTCTAAAACGACATTTGAATAAAACAAACATAAAAACAACACATTTGACATGTACAAATTACTTATTACCTGCTCTCTGTTTTACACATCGTGTAAAAAGTGTGATTTTCATCTTCGGTGTAATTTTTAAAAATGCGTGAAAATAATTTGTATGCAAATCAAAAATATATATATATATATACTTTATTCTTAGCAATAAACACACAAAAAATTCGAGGAGGGCAGAATGTTGCGACAGAGAGAAGGGTCCATCAAAAGCGCGAATAACATAACAAACGAACGTGAAAAGAAAAATCTCATAAAATAGCATTTTTACGCATTTGAAAGAATAAAAAAAACTTTTCACCGAAAATGTGCTGTACAAACAAAATGCTAATCTACACGAAAATTGCAGTGGCAAAAGTTAATATTTGGTTGTATATATATGCGATAAAATCCACTGTGATGATGGGTGTTTTGGTGATGATGATCATTTCGCACAACTGACGCAATTGTTGATTTTCAAAAGCAAAATATTACACGGTTTGCAATTGTGGTGTATTGGATGTGTGCAACAAACGAATTGTGTTTTATTTGGCATTGTAAAATAAAGGCAATCTCTAAATGGTGAAAGCAGGATATTTTCTATAATTTTGCATTCACAAACCTGCTTGAAAAGCGATATTCATAGCCATTCTGTGTATTACGTCATAAAATACAAATCTTTGGCATCGCTTCACCACTGTTAGAAATCAAGCAATTTGTTACCGTTATGAACAATAGCGTGAAGTGATAATTTGTCTAAAACGTTCTTTAAAAAAAGTCTTGTCTCAAAAATTGGTTGTTCCAGTCGAACCTTAGTTCGTATATTGAACAATTTTTCTTTAAAACGTCTCATAGTAGCTAAACAACCATGCTGTCGCAAATATGCGCAATTTAGTATTAATGATCGGAATTCCTTAAGGCCGAAATTCAAAATAATATTTCTGAACCTAAACATAATTTAATCAAAATGGTAATGGTGGCTGACACATTAAACTTCATGCTGTTAATTTATTATTATTCTCAGTCAGTCACATTGGCGCAATGGGATGCATAATGTTGGTTTGCGACACGTTTATGTTTCGAAATTCATCCACATATTATTCAATAAAAATTGATAAACAACATTGGCAATTTTTGGCAATTTTCTTTAAACGCAGCGGGTAACTTGTTTGCTGTTAGTAAATGATACGACATTGACGGTCAGTTTTACCAATGAAACATTAATTGAAATGAATCAAACACAGAGATTGTGTCGAGATATTTTCAGTTAGCTCGTTTAGTACATTTGTTGATTGAATTCGGTAGAGTGTAAACGTTTCATCAGTGTAAAGGGACGATAGCTCTCTTCATTCGTGTTTTATTTTCATTTTACTGAGATTTCGATGAAATTTGAAAAAATACCAATGTCTCGGCTAAATTGGCTAGTTTTAGGTATTGTTTTGTTATTATTTTGTTCACAAACTGTAAATTGTCAGCGTCGTGGTGGTCGTGGCCGAGGACGGACCAAATCAAGAGTAACATTTTTTTCATAATTTTCGATTTATCATTGCGAATATGTGTAGCGAAATATTTAATTTGTGTGTTATTTCTATTCAGGTGCAAATTGGTTTGCCCATCACCGGAAAATATAGAGGTTGATTTTTTTGAATATTTCTTGAAATTTAGCAATTTATCAAATTTTATATTTGATTGTATGCTTTGGTTTTATTTATTTCTCCAGATCCCGAAAGTGACCAATACTACAATCATGAACATGTAATTTCAATAAATTTTAAATCTACTTATTAAGGGAAACAATAAAATTAATTTTTGATGCTGATTTGACAGGGAGCAAAAATTACGCAAGCATCTCATTTTGATTATGAATATGTGTTGGGCCATAAAATAGCATTTTTGTGCGTAGCAACGGGAACTCCTCGTCCAGAAATCACTTGGTTAAAAGATGGTGCCGAATTATTCCAACATCCTTACATGCATGTAAGTATCAAAATTTGCTGGCTTTTCCGCGACATTCACTGAGTGGTGTGTTATTTTAATCGAAATTATGTGTGATTTACTGGGTAGGTGAATGAGTGGCGAATAGGCGATGATAAAATCAAATCAAAAATTGAGATTGATCCAGCAACTCAAATGGACGCAGGAGTATACGAATGTGTCTCCGACAATATGTAATCATATCATTCAAACGTGGTGGTTTAACAAGTGACTAATCAAATATATTTGTAGGTATTCCATTGACCGTAGAAGCTTCAAGACCGATTTCTCAATTGCATTTGATTAATGTTAAATGTGTGATCTTGGATTTGACATTCAACCTTCATACGAAGTTGGAGCGATTTTTATATAAATGTATGGAACAAAATATACAAATACAATTTGCAACAAAGTGAATAGTATTTCTCAGACGGAAATATGTATAATATTAATAAAAAAGACAATCAGTGTATTCTGATATGTATACTAGGCGTAAATTGCTGACTTTTCCATTATTATGATCAAATCTAGCCATCTTAAACGTCATGGAATGGTTGAAGACTTCAATCACACTTTTATTTGCTGCGTATTATCGGACACGTGTCCGCCCAGACATTGTACGAAGATGCTTTCGGTCAGCTGATGCATCACATCTGGCTCAGCTGCTATTTGTATGAGCGTGAATGTAAGGAGTGTGTATGGAAACTATAAAAGTTATTTTTGCTAACCTACATTAATGTTGTACAGTTTCTGTGTGTCTCAATTTTGGACTAATTCAAAATTGAGTGCATTTTGAAATATATTCCAAAAATAGATTTAAATATGGGCCTTGTTTGATAAGAGTGACACTGATATTGACTGGCAACAGTCGCTAAATAATAGAAGTTTCAAAATATATAAATTATCCAATCAAAATTGATAAACAACTCCACTACTTTGAAAGTAGTACTTTCATTGAATACAGTGGCTTACATTTTATTGAATGAGTTTTTTTTGCAGTAAATTCGCTGTTTACATTTAAAAAAAAAAAAAGAAATCAAGTACAGTACTCAAATTGGATTTTGCGAAGCTATTATAAAGTAAAAAATGAGTTTATTTGAAGTAACCAATCAAAATAAAAATATTCTTTTTAGCTTTATCAAGCGAATAAAATTACAATAAAAATTATTTCGTTTCTTTGATAATTTTTTCAATGTTCGATACGTCTCCCATCAAAAGATCCAAATACATTCTACGTAAATTGTAATATTTGATCATCAAATTCTTGGCACCAGCAAATTGCATTAAAATTGCTTGATGTGAGCCTGCATAGCGAGATGCGGCGAATTGTATGTCGGTGTGATCATATGGCGCGGTCATAGAATTCAATGTGTTGACAAGTGTATTTGAGTCCCTAACAAAAAGCTGTTTTTTTTAATTTAACATAGACACGATGTCAATGAAATTTGTCTGCAGCTTTGTGCTCATTCTTTTTATGCGCGGATGGTATTTCTGAACTAATTCAACGTGTTTTCTATCAAAATTATGCCATTTCTCTATCACTAAAGTGAAAACACCCGCGTCCTTTGAAAGATTTGCATTTATTTCAGCCAATATTACCTTTATCTTCTTTTCATTCTCCAACAGTTCTACCTTTGTTTGCAGTATTGAGGAGTCATCATTCCTTGGCAGACCATTTGAATTCCATTGAATGTTGCTTTCAATTCAGCTATCCAATCTATCCCTATGCTTGGAGCAACCGCTCTGGCTTTAATATCAAACTTTTCAATTATCGCTTGATAAGTAGTCTCACTCGTCGCAAATACCTGCTCAAATTAAAGTTTAAAGAAATAAATAGAAAATATAATTTCGCCGCAGACAATTTACCTGATCAAAGGCTAGCATGGCAAAGAACACCAATAGAGTATGCACCTTCATTGCTTTAGTTTCAAAAAACTCTTCGTATACTGCTCAGTGAAAAATTCGACTGTACCCAACAGGATTAAACAATTCCTTATATACGCACTTTTTATGAAAAGGGAATAATAGCGCATTAATAATGTATTGGCAATTAATAATTGATGAAATATTCGGTTGACGTCTTTATATATTACACTTGTAAAGTTTGAACAGTTTCAAACAGTTGGCAGCTGTGGATTAAAATCGTATCTATCGAAAAATATTTTCACGAATTCATTGTGTCATAGACAGACAAGAAATTTCAAAACCTATGGGGTAGACACAGAATATTTTGGCCAAATAAAAAGATATTAGAAAACTTTCAATACCTTACGCTACGGTTACGCTACCGCTTGCTGCATTATGCTACCATTACCCAAGCACTCAATTTGCACTGTTCATCCGGGGTATTTGCACCGTGCGTCAGTTACGAAAACACGAAACGGACTACGGAGCGAGACACGAAGTGTATTTTTGTTATGTAGCGTAGCAGCCTTTGCCATGCAAACAGCTGAAAAAGGGAAATAACGGAATAAGGCACAAGGAATGAAGCGTATATGCACATACACTACTTTCTTCGTGTCTCGCTCCGTATTCTGTTTCGTGTTTTCGTAACTGACGCACGGTGCGAATGCCCCGGGTGAACATTGCAAATTGAGTGCTTGGGTAGTACGCTACACACAAAAAACAGTAGTAGTAGAATTGTTGCCAAATTTGTATGAAATCTAAAATCTTTTGATTTGCATTCGCCACTTATGAAAACGTCACATGTTAATGTAGCGCTGTAAACAGTGTGTGTCCAAACATTATAAATCCGGCACAGGCTTACCTTTACCAATAGTATTGGTATTTTCATACAATTTTCACTTCTTAGTCCATTACGCTACGATAACGCTATGGTTACGCTACAAAAAAAAATCGAAAAATTCTACTTCAATCATTTTGATAGTACATATCTGTTTTTTCCTTATTAAAATTAACATGAAAATCAACATTCGATAAAAAAACTGATGAAATGAACATAAATTATTGCACACCAAAGGTGTGTAGATGGGGGTTAGCATGGACAGAAAAACATTAAATAAAATACGTGGAACAGTGGTAACTAGGTAAAGGAAACTGAAGCCCTCAGTCATGTTCTCTTTCTCTCGACAAAGGACATTGTGCGATGCAACAAATTGATGTGCAATCTACAGTGTCGTCGCATTTACCTGTAATTTTATTGTATCTACTTTGACAATAGACCCTTCAACTTGAACAAAACATAGAAGAATCGTAATAAAACTTCCTTTTTCTTGACTCAACGCCATAATCTCTGTGCAACCATCTTCTTTCAATATTTCTTTCTGTTTGTGTTTTGATGCAATTTTCATTTTTAACAGTAGAACAATAATTTTGACACCAGCCTGAACGGATGAATTAAGCAATTAAGAAAGTGAAAACGATGTAAGAAATGAAGAGAAGAAAAGTGAAATTATGATTTCATTTGTTAAGGTTTGAGCTATATTATATAGCCTATATATCAATGTCTTATCTCACAATTGAAATCAACCCATCAAATTGTTAAGTTACCTATTAAAATCTCCAAACGCCAGAAAACGATCAAAATGAACCTCTGGATACCAAGCAATAATCATAAACAAATATCATACTCCGATATATGTTTCAGTTGACAATAAGGGAGTGTACAAATAAAAACACATTTTTTGTTTGTTAGAGTGGTTTTTTATTGGTTTTTCTTCGAATTTTTTTTTTTTCATTTTTTTCCTTTCCTGTTTCAAATAAAATCTAAAAAATAATATAGAATAGCAATAATTATTATTTAAATTCCATGAATTTCGTTGCAATTTCATTTGCAGGCGAAAAGAAAATAATCGAATAAAAATCTTGATTCGGATGAAATTCGAATAATAATCCTTCCAATCGATCGTTGTACTAGTTTAATATAAAAATAATTGCGTATTTAACTTGAATAAACTGTTAAATAGATCTATTAATATAATAGAATTTTTCTTTCCTTGAATTTCATTTTTTTTCTTTATATGTTTGACAAAAAATTATATGTTGGAGCCAAATTGGCTCAGTCAATGCGTTTTTCAAAAGCAAAATGATATTATCAATTGGGCCATAAGTCTTGCGCAACAAAAATCGTAATTTTGAATGCGAGCATCAAAATGGTTATTTTGAAATGTAGTAGGGGTGCGTCGTAAAAAGCAGTAATTCCTCATCCATTGAAGCAAAGCAATATAAAGCACCTTCACCGATATTTGAAGTTAGCGAATGCAGAAACAATCCTAAATCGAAATAAACAAAACCCTCTTAAAGTGTATGATATCGTCTAACTGTCAATATTTCAGTTTACGTTAGGCACTTAGCTTTCAAGGCAAACACCGATTACTTATTTCAAACTTATCATTTTAAATCATGTGATCTGAACAGATCCACTTCCAGCTTAGTTATATAAATAAACGGATGTTATCGTCTATCTCGAGTGGCATAGTATTTTATTATTTGTGATGATCGATAGAAGCAAAATATATAATTTCTTTTCAAATACATTCCATGCGACCACCACCTGACATACTGAAATTGATTTTAACTATTACAATATCGCTATATATGATGACGTTTACTAAGCTCTTCGTGTACCTCAAAATATCATTTCACTTAATTTCTACTTGTTGTTAAAAGAACACAAAATTCATTCACATTCCAATTCATGCTGATTTTTCACAATTGTATATATCCTTTTTGTCAAACTTAAATCTACAGATCTATAGATTTCCTATAGGAAATACAATGCATGTATAAATGGTATAAATCCAGTTTTTTTTTTTTAATTCTTCGAATCGTATTTTTTAAATTTATAAATTAAGAGAAATAAAAAAGATATACGTAAACCTTCGAAATCGAATGAAAAGCGATAGAAAAAAAGAAAAAAAGCAAAAAAAGCAGTCTTAACTATTACAAAAATAAATGGAAAAATAAAGAATAAATGAATACAATTATATCAAAACAAAAAACATTCCACATGCACTTAAGCTAAATGTGTGGGGTGCTGTAATACAGTTTCTGTAGAGTGACCGGTTCAACGAACACCCCTTACCCCGATGTTTTGTTTCTTTCTTCCTCTTCTCATCCTGTAATAATTCTCTTGAAATCTTGTTTGTATGTGTGTGTGTACTCCATCGTTAGTTCAGGTGCTGTGTATGAACAGCGTGCCCGATGGCGTTACTAAATCTTACTTATGTTCAAATTCACTTTTTCAATAAAGCAATTTCACTACGTATCGATGCAATAAATTCATACAACGGTGTGCCGTATTCAATCGGCGATCGAATTCGATGATGAATTTTTCATTTCTCAATGGAAGAAATTTGCAATTGATTTACGCATGCCTTATCGACTTTTATCAGTAAATAATTTCTATTTTGTTATAAAAACCATGTCACTGTGGACAATTTCTATTTTATGATAAATCGATAAAATGAATTTGTTTGTGTATCATTTCATTCTCTCTGTTTGTATCGTATTTCATTCGTTCAAATTGGTGGTGGTCCACGAACGTAACGCAAATGAGGCGATAGACTCCATGCAAAATTATTCGCACCATCACAACAGTGTGGCTCCATGAAGCATGCTGCACAGAACAAAGCGATCAACGCCAATTGAACTGGCACGGCATATTTTGCGACGCGCCAACTCCATGTTCCTTTTTCGTCAGCATCTTCAACGATGGTGTCATCCTTCGGATCGTCTGGATCTGGTTCGGATGCAGTTGTCATCATATCGTATTGATTTGAAACGGCCAACGGCATTTTTGGTGTGGCCATCAATGAAATTCCATTTGTACCGCTTGAATTTGTTCGTCTTCGTTGCTTTCGTTTGCTACAGAAAAAGAAAATTAAAAGACATTATCACGTTAATTCGTTTATGCTAAAATGTGTTGTAACTAATGAAGTCATAAAAGAAATCCCAAATTACGCACAATTTTCTAATTATTTCAAAGATATTTTCTTGAAATGTGCACCATTGCCTAAATGTCACCTAATGAAGATATGCTTCATGTATTATTAACAACGGCCCTAAGAGAATACCTCAAACTCTTTATAATTCGAAAGAAGGGAAGTAAGTCATAAATGTACACATATGAGCACTTAGACGCATACTCATATCCCGAATAAAATCAACGGCTCGTGCGAACCCGGAATGAAATGAATAAATAAATATTTTTGAGATCGTTGTAACGGAAACATAATTGACCGTATCGGCTGAGAACTCTTCCATCTTATGTGTTCGTGTGTGTGTCTGTGCATGGATAAAAGAAGTGCAAACATTGCGCTAAATGTTTATTGCATAACATGGCCGTTGAGAGAGAAACTTTTATCCAGAGAGCGATTTGAGACACATAAAAACGCACTTTGTTCCATTTTTGATCAGAGAACGTCGTCGACTTGATTATGTGTTGCACAAAATGTACCATACTACTTCCTTTCGCCGCCGCCACCATCACCATCACCGACTGCAATGGCATTTCATGTGTTGTCTTGCACAACGTTAATCATAAAATGTTCTTTTTGTCTGCAGTGGCGGAATGATGATGTTCATAAAAAATAGATCCATTTTCGCATTGCTTATGGAACGGTAGAAAAAATTCTTGACGTTAAATGCGGATAATGTTTGCATCGGGAGATATAATTACATTACTATTGTTAGTCGGGCAATAATAATATTCGAGGGTGCACACCAGCCACGATGACAAACGGCAGGGTAGAGAAAGAGAACGTTCAGTATGGTTGTAGTGTTGGTATAGACATTAAAACTTAATTCGTACTTTTTATTGACGGGATCTTAACGGCTTCTTATGTACTTTGCACACTTTGTAAGTGCATCGAGCACACGGCAGCCACCCGAAAAACTCATAATGCAAAGTCATGTTTTAATGCCATTTGTTGCGGTGAATTTTTATGAAGGGACATTTTTATGGCTCCTTAGTTTAACAATTAAAAACCCAAAATATAAATATGCTACAAAATACAATAAAACAAGAAATTTATCGTTCCGAAAAATATGATGAACATCTTCAAATATTATGGCAAAGTGATGATTTTTATTTTTCGTAACATTTTGTCATTGCAATGTAATTTCAAACGTGTTATAAAACACGAAGAACAAATTTTTTTTAACAGACATTTTATTGTTCTTTTGAATTTTAATGAAAACCATTTTTGGAGCACAAGGTGAACGGGATGAAAATCAGTCGTTTTAATAAGATATTACACTCTTGGGATATGTGACAGAAATCTACGTAAATCATCTTAAAACATTTTTATTTTCAGCACTTTTGGCAAAGAAAAGACATTCGTTTTTGCGTTGTTTTCGCATGTACTTACTTTACTTTCTTACTGCTGTAGACTTTGTGTAAGAACTTTGTGCGACAAATTGCATTAAAGAATTACCGTAATCGTCAAACAACTTAAGATTGTGTTAATTTTCTTATTTGAATGCAAATATTCATTGTTTGTATAAATCTGTTTGTTTGGTCGTTGTCTTGCAACAGTCGACTCGAAAATTATTGCATACGATTATCTAGTGTATCAAGTGACAATTTTTAAGCACTTTTTACACTTTGGTGTGTCTTGGTTTTTATTTCAAAAAAATTTACATATTACCCTCAGGGAAATTATTCAGACTCAGTAAGCGAGCACTGTTTCTTAGTATAACACTTCAGACATGACATGAACTCGACTCTTCTTGCCATATCTAATTAAAATTCATTGGCAAACAAATTGTGAGAAGAGACGTACATACATCTACCTCATCTTCATCAAATGAGCCAGCCCATAAGAAACGTAGTTCCGATACGATAAAATTATAGGTCATGGATGAATTAAAACTTTGTCTTAAATCGAATAGAAATTAAATCAGATTGAGGGCAATACATGTGGTATCGTTTTCCAATTAGAAAATTAAAATAAATCTTCTCATTTCGGTGAATTTGCATAAAACAAATTATTCCTTTTTATTTTCTCTTCGTTTTTTTGGTGCGTAATTTGAATTTTTCGGAAATTACTTCTTGATTGGTAGAACATAGATTGGTGGGTAATACAATTTGTCTATATACTTACTTGGGTGTTGTACGTTTTGTTGTTTTTGCTTTAACGTTGATAATTGGAATTTGGAAATTAATTGGCTGTTGATTAATGATGTTTGCTGCTGATGCATTCGAGACAATTGCATCTAAATGTGATGTCGATCCAGTTGTTTGGCTGGCCGTGGCCAAGCGATTCGGTTGAGAGACAGCCGTTCGGATGATCAATTCACGGCAAGTTTCTTGAAGTGAACGCAATTCAGCTTCGGCCATTTCCATGCGTTGGTTGATGGAATTGAGCGCTTCGCTGCCTGGAACTAGGGCCTGTTCAAGCTGTTTGGCAAGACGACGAAGTGCACCAAGACGTCGTTCACGCTCAGAAAGGCCATAATCGGAACTACAACCACCATCCGAAATACCACTGTCCGACAACGAACCGTTCGATGGTAAATTGAACGCCATCGCTCCGATGTGACTCAATTTTGGCTGAGACGTTGTATTCTGCAAGAGAAAAAAATACATTCATAATAAGATATTTTTGTTTTAATTTTGATAAATTAAATTGAAACTACAATTGACACGCATGGAATCGGAAATTTTGAACTTATTATGCCTCCAAGTGAATAAATGCCATTTGATTTATTATTTTTATTTTGTCACTTACAAGATTTTTTTCCCAACTACTGTGTTTAGACGTGACTTGAGAGCCAAATCAAATGGGCAGAAACGATTTGGTCGCTTTTCTAACTGGCGACGAAAAAAAAAACGAAGCCTTGTATGCAAAATCATATTCAAAGTCATTTATATATGCCTTCTGAAACGCATGCAAATTTTTGCAAAGATAATCTTCGCGCTTCAATTGCATTAAATTTGGCTGGCAAAATAACATATTGTTCACATAAACCTATTCAATCGCTTCAAGCGTTTTGCTTGAATAAAAAAAAAATCGGCAAGAGAAATGGAAAAGTCGCCGTTGAGGCTGATTAATGATGCTAAATATGTTATTTCATTCATTTTATGTCAAATCTACCAAAAATGGCCATTTATTTTATTTCGGTATTTACAGTTCAGTGAAATTGAGCCGAGACACTGTAACCAGCCGAAGAATTCAATCCCTTTTTTTATATTTGAACAAACAACACATATCAAACATATTTGAATCGTTCTATATGCAAAATAGTTTTTCGTTTATCCATTGAACTGAACAATATTCACAATCGTTCGAATATATTTTCATGACAAACTGTACGGAAATTTGTGATATCAAGACGAATTATTCAACGCAATGCTTCTGTCTTTTGCTGTGAATTCATTTGACGATGTAAGTACTAACGCACATGCATGACAGAAAAAAAAATGAAACAAAGGCCTAGCAAGACATTAAGAAATGAAAATTTTAACGACTCTGCAATGTACAATTACGAGAAAGGAGCCGGTCGGACAATATAATCTAAAATTATGGTTTCACTTTAATCATTTTAAGTGTGTATTATTGCGTTGCTCAAGTACCAAGATATTGAAATAAACACGTACACTCGCGAATAGTTCTACATACGGCAAGAAAACAATGCAATTCGTTATTAATATTTTTTGTGTTCTATAAACCAGTTTTTTTAGTTGTTGGCAAAAAAAGGGGGCATCAATGCAATAGTTGGCATGAATTGCTTTGATCCAATGATTTATAGAAGTTTCCCTTTCGAAATTATTTCGATCTTGATTTAGATTCGTTCATTTTCAATTGATTCTGCAGGAAGTTGCATTGTGTGCGTGTGTGTGTGTGTGGATGGGAAGGTGAAGAAGAGGATAAAAAGAAAAAGGAACTTTTTCCAAACGAATGCAGCGCAATAGATGAGTTAATAAAAGCGTGAAGAATCTCAATCAAGTCGATTGGGTAAAAGTTATTGTTTGCTTCATTCAAACGTAAATTGAGTTAGAGGTCAAGTAAATGGTTACTGAAAATTGAAGCAACGCAATAAGAGGAAATAATACAAAGAAAATTGAACTCCCCTTTGCAGATGCATGAATATCGCGCTCACACCGATAACGAAGAAAAAATAACCATAATCATGAAGAGAGAGAGAGAGAGAGAGAGAGAGAGAAAGAAAAGTTGCAATCTTTTCTTGGAAATCGAGCGTTCGATATATATTTTTGTGAATCAGCAATATTATAATAATTCTCATTTCCGTTCGATGTGCTGCTGCCGTTCGTCGGCTCTACACAACACACTCACTCACTCACTCACCATTGCAATGTGTGATGCATGAAGTGATAAATTTGTTCACATTGTGATTCTCTCAAATCCCCGATGTGATTCAACTTATCACCCAAAAAAAAAAGTGTTCGCCGCCAATGGTAGCGTTAGATCAACATGAACCATGTATTTTTCATGTTGTTCAATTCAGTGAGTTGGCAAAGTACAAAGTACCCGTTTTACCTAATGCAATCAATAGAATTGGCCGTTGATTCGTTGTTGTTATTTTGCAACACAGAAGTCGAATTTACGAGAATGAAATACAGGCGTCTGCAACTGGTGTACCATGATGTTGGATGGAAAATAGCATCGATGAGTGAGAATAGCGGAAAACAAGAGAAACAACGAATATTTCTATGATATTCGTTTATAATAAATAGTACATTCAAAACGTATCCGCAATACATTGTTCGGCAGTTGCTTTCGGAATAAAGGGGTTGATTCGTTTTATTATATAATACCTTCTGATTGCGAATGTTACTAGAATGAGAGTGAAAACGAGAGAGAGAGAGCATGTGGCGTCAATGATGAAAACAACGACACCAAAAACAAATGTTTCCGTCATCACATTGAGCCGCACATTCACTTGGTGGCCGCCTTTACTTATGCGAAACGCGGCTCACCCTCGATTTTGTGCAACAACAAAACTGAACATTCACCCTGTTTTAGCTAATTTACAGTATGGTACATGCCGACAATACTCGATCAATATGCCATATCATCAAGTGCACAAAGTCAAAATGATGATGGAGAAAAGAAGAAGAAGAAAAAGTTTTTGTGTATAACATTAATTTGCGTTAATGAGTGCCTATTAAACTAAATGAAGATGAATTAAACGCCTGTCATAAATTGACTGCGCTTATTTTTGTCAATGAATCCATTAACTTGTTCACTGTATACGGCAATCTTTTCAGGCATCATCATTTTTATGATGAGAGGTCGTGAGGAACTCATTCGTGTGATTTTTACGGTTTACTTCGATATGTTGCCGTTACATTTTTCGATAAACATTTTCGGATTGGATTGTGCCAAGGGATGAATATTCCCATGATATAAAATACAAATTGAAGCATTTGTTCGACTGTTATCTTTGACTTATCAAATTCTTCTTTGGGTTTATGGATAAAATTGAAGATTTTACTTATTAGATTTAATATAAAAATTTCAAATTGAAGTGTTTTTTTTCAAATGCAAGCCTTCGGTGTATTTTCAAGGTGCCAAATTTTATTCAAATAATATTCCGATTGAATATTTCGATGTATTTGGTCTGAAAATCTGAGAGTAAATCGGGCCGTATGCGTTCTTTTTTTTCGTTTGGTTCAGCTCGGAACGTTCATTGATTTGGCATTTCAGTCACGTTAGAGCCATTTTTCACTATCTTTTTCACGCAGCATGTGCGTTAATGCAAACGGTGAAAATCGATATGTGGCGCGCGGGTATTCTCAAATTTACGTGCGCAAACATCAAATACGGTTCGTCTCTTCGGGCTGAATGAATTGCATTCGACGGGCAAACCGAAACTCTCTGGTTTGGAAATCTAATGGCACCTTGAAAACGGTCAAAATATTATCGATTTTTTTTTCTTGCTGTGCACGTACATCGACAGACAATACTATACCATCCCGTCGGCCATATTTTTGGGAAATGATATTTGTTCACCTGAAAACGTGCGTTCTTTTTTTTTGTCTTTGGCATTGTACGCGTGATCATACTCATTGATGTATAAAACACACTAAATAGTCATTCTAAGGGTGAAAAAAGAGTGTGAGATCCTGTACCTGTTGGCTGGTTGCCGTTGCTATGTTGTTTTGATTGTCCATTTTCTCGGAGAGACGCTTTGCAACTTCCTTTACATCGTATGCCAAATTATTGCTAATCACATCGGTTCCCATTTCCAATGCACCGGTCAGACGTTTCAATGCACCTGTGTCTTTGCCCAACACCTCTTTAAATTCATTGATTCCATTCTCGAACTGTTTCCATGCAATCAACGATGTAGTTACTGATTCCAAACGATTTTTTACTCTGCGATAAAAAACGAGAAAAAAAGTATGAATAAATAAAATAATCTATTAGAAATAATTCAAGCATTTTTATCTTCATTCCGAAAATGGACCGTTGCATTTGAGAGTAAATTTTGTGGAAAATTATTTACTGCGGTCGGGCAAATTGTCGAAATAAATGTCCAAATTATTCGGAAATAGAAATGATTGACTCATGTAGCGTCAGCCAAACAGCGGTGAGTGATAGTTGTCAAACGAAGAAAAATGTAATCGAATCAAAAGGCACACAAAGTTTTCCAAATAATTTAACCTAATCAAATGATGTTTTATTATACACCCATACGACGATATGTAAGGGATTTGCCGTTCTGTAATTTTTCTTATTTCGTCTGTTTCTTTTTGGTTTTATGATGGAACCCAAAGCGAAACGAAAAAAAAAAATTATTGGCATGTTGTTGCATCAAATTCGAATCATTTTGTGTATTACGTAAAGATAGAGAAATGAAAAAGAACGGGAGTTTTAGAGAAATGTTGTATAAGAAACAAATAAGCGACAGCGAGCTTGTATTAGTTTTTCAACGCCCATAATAATTCAACCGCAATGGGAATAAAATGATATGGACAGTTTGAAATTATGACATACGGAAAAAATCATGGGTGACTAGGAGCCTTGTGCACCGCACACGCACAAAAAGAAATCCATTTTTAGAGAAAGCAACAAGAAAGTGCGTATACACACAAAACGTATTTGGTCGTTGTCCCTTGCAAACCGTGTCAAATACACATCATAGATCCGTTGACCAAATGCACATTGTGCGTCGTCGGCTATGAAAGCGGGTGTGTTGATCCGATATTTAATGCGCTTTTCTATTCAATCTGGTAATAAAATCATTATGGACATTGTTTTTAGCATAAAAAAGTCATCAGAATGAAATGTTGAGCAATTTCATTCTATTTGTGCTCGATATTAGTGTATATCATTTTTTTTCTCTGTCGGATGCAATTTTTGGGCAAAAGGGCCAAATAAAACCGATATACATGTTGCTTGATGGAATATGGATGATGTGTGGACACATGCAGACAGTGACGAGAAATAGAGAGCGACAGGGAGAGCAAGAAAAAATGTAGAAAAATGAAAACGAGAATTATTAAGAGAAAAATCTGGGGAAAAAAATGAAAAATTATTGGAGCTTACTATCGTTGAAGATGATGGTCAAAGTCAATGCGAATGCGTATATTGTAACATATGGTATTCGCTCGAACACACACACACACACACACTTTGACTTTTCTTCATGCGATAGTTTCATAATTTATTACATTCGGTTGTGCAATTTCTCGGTCGTATAAACAAAACTTTTTCACGTCAGATAAAACTGTCGCACTCATTTTTTTCATCTATCGTGTGTGCCTCTTTTGTATCGGCGAGTCATTACTTTAGCTCGAAGTAAATTTATGATTCTTTCTTTTGGCACAATCAAAAAGTGTTTGGGTCTCCAGTTGCCTTTGTCCAACCATTTTATTCGAATTAGTTTTGTATTTGTCAATAATAATAAGTTGAGTACGAGGTCACTCTTTCGATAAAACTTTATGAGAACCGAAGAAAAATGATTCGCAACATTACATCGAACAAATCATTTGAGCGCAATTTTCGGGTGACCATTTCATAATATCGTCGGTTTAATTTCATACTTCTCCGAAAAATAAAATAAATGAACAGCTTACTTCATAATACATCACTAAAACAATGCAAAGCTGCAAAATTTGTTTTCGCATCATTCTAAAAATGCCGTGCAATAATAGAAATTAACATTTTTCTTTCTCCGACCAAATGTAATTTCCATAAATAGACCATTTTTCTTCGGCTCAAGCAAATATTATTTCGTTATCTGACAGCCCAGTTAATATTCGTTGCCTTGAGCAAGAAAAAGAGACAAAAACAAATTCGCCGACATCCGAAAAGAAAGCCAACCGTGGAGAAGAAAAAAAACCCGCAGATAAAAAAAGACGCACGAGAAAAAACAACAATAGTATGTATTTGCACAACATACAACAATGACGAACGAAGGGAGTGAAATTGGCATGCAGACAAATAGGTAATGCACCAATACCTAACCTATTACACATTTCAACTGAGCGACGTGCTCTCGGCGCGCCAAGTGTTTTTCTCTATTTCTCATTTCTTCGAAATGTGAAAGCAAGTGAAATTGCCAAATGATGCAGGAGTTGACAAAGAACAACTAAGAAAAAAGAGAAAACAGAAAATAAAGCCAATCGATGGCCAGTCAGTCAGATGCGTATGTTTTGTTTATGTTGACTACAGAGTCAGAGGGCATGCTATAATATCTGTTGGGCACAAGTTCGAACCCTCGTCTTTGGTTTGGATTTTCACACAATATATAATCAAATGATTACGTCCGATTGTGTTCTATTGCTGTGCGTGCGCCCATATGTATGTACGCACATCCAAAATTCACAATGAAAATTGAGATTTATTGCTTCCGATTTAGCCGTCGGGCATTTCGCACATTCTCTCAAAGCGGCGATCATGTTGATTTTTCATTAATGTCCGCTTTTCATCATTCGACAGTTAAATCAACAACAACGAAAGAAAATAAAAAGCACAATCCATTGCAAACTAAATCTATGGATCCGATTTTGATTTGCAAAGTTTTATTTCATTTTCAAACAGTGTGACAATAATGCGAACTAATCGTCGGAAATGGTCATATGGAGTTGGAAAAGGAAATGTGCATATTGACCTGATAACCTCCGTTTACGATGTTCATCTCAAACCCATCAAATAAATGTCACTTAAGAAAGTTATACAATTCACTGGGCTGTATAAAAATGGCATTTGAAATTTACCTCTCGTCAGCTTCATCCCACACCTTATACATGTTGCCCACTTCGTTTTTCAATTGTTTGTGTAGTTCTTCATTAAATGTGCAATCATCGGCATCGATTGAAGTGCCAACAGCGTTCGATGATGATACTTCTTTGATTGTTATTGTTGACGACTCAAGTGTTGAATCTTCGGCCGAATTTCCATTTTCATCTGCATTGCCGCTATCAATTGATGTTGTAGTCACAGCAGTTTTATTGGCTGCCATTTCGATTTGTTTACGTTTTTCATGACGTGTCAACCAACTGTGAACGGATGCATTCAGACGCAACATCGATGAACGATATGTATGCAATTGAGCCTTTTCGTCCTGGAAAGAAAAGAAAATTTAACAAAATTAAATCGATTGGAAATATATATCGTTTTTTTTTTTAAAGCAAATCCGATTTCAAATAACCAATTTCAATTGAAAATTGGAAATCGCATCAAACTTTTAAATTATTGACTCTTTCGAACCCCTTTTCGAGCATTTGCACAGGAAATTTATTTATGCGCTTTAAGGAAAATTTTCAATTTATCATTGACGCGTAACCGTACACAAATACACAATTGAGTGTGTAGTACGAATTTGTCAGACGCCACACAGCATTATATCGGCACTCGTTCGTGGCATGTTCCCAAATGGAATGTTCCGTATCATTTCCGTAACATCGCATTTTGCATACGGTGAGTTCAGCCTCCCACTTGGCAAACAATCACCAACTTACAACAAGTATTACACATATTTGACATATGTTTGGTGTCGCCATGTGTTATTTATTGCACTTGATAGTAAAATAATTGGGGAGAAAATGCTCTCTCGATTTCTATTGTTTTTGTTTTGTTTCAGAGTTTTATTGTTTTCTGTTTTTTTTTTTGCTTGTCAAATTTTACATATTGCCCATGCTGTGTGAACCTTCAATATTTACGAGCATACATAACGGCTCCCAGTGAAATGTAGAGCCAAAGAGGGAAAAGGAAAGAGGAACTTGGAGAGTGAAAGATGTACACCAATCGAAATGAGGATATTTGTGGAACAAATCTAAAACCGCACATATACATTTACAGTTATGACTATTGCTCCTAATTGAGGCCGGCATATTGCTGTGAAAACAAACATTCTCAAACCATCACCAAAACGACAAAGCGGTTTAATTACATTTTGTTCGAAATCCAAACGACATTTTTATGATTTATGACTCCAAATGGTTTCACTTGTTCACTATATATAGTGAAATAGTTCCGTTCAACGTTGTAATCTTCTTGTGACTTATAAAACTTTCTTCGATGATACTGAATTAATTAAATATCGTTCATACCGCAGTAAAATATCATATAAAATCAATATGCGATCAAAATGTTTGCCAGTTAAATGTCCAACAGAAGCCGTAGTAGCACATTTTATTTTGAATCAAAATTAAGGTTGAAAAACGTATATAATTCAGCATTAAGCGCAACTCGGATGGTGTCTTTATAAATGGAAACAATGAATGCAATTGCAAATGCTGTTTAATAATAATATTGAATGTGATATGAAAAGACTGCAATTTTAATGACAATGATGGCTCAATTTTCGTATGGGTGTTCTTTAAATAATATTTTTCTATTAGCCTGGTGTCGCCTCTTTCATTCTTTTGCTAATCAACGTCGTTCATTCGAAGGGTTCTTCGTTTGCAAACATATACAGCTTACAAATATACGCATGAAACGACACACAATGTAATTTCGACATGTTATTATTACTATTGCCAGTGTGCAGCTATTACTTTACGGGGATGTGAAACGGAGTGAAAAGCGAGAGTCAAGATAGACAATTCAAGTCACGTGTTTACCTTAATATTCTTCATTTCATAAGTTTACAAAGATTCTACCGAAAATAATGTATTTTCATGTAAATTTTCTCTCGACTGACAATGTATAGACAGAAAAAAGAACGCCATCATTCCATCGTGTAGCCCACATTCGCCGTTCTATCTGCTTCCAATCATTTATCATATAGATTTTTCTATTAATATGTATTACTTGTTCTCGCTCTCTCTCGCTCTCTCTCTCTCTCTCTCTCTCTCTCTCTCTCTTATTCATTCAGCATTTCCAAATATACCGTGTCAATGACATTTTCACACATATACACACACGATCACGACTAATGAAAACGCCGAACGCGTATTACTGCCGCTTATTAAGAGATTTTTTCTTCTCGTTTTATCGTAATTTTGTCTGTCTATTCCTTTTCCGTAATGACAATGACAAAAGAGATATAGACCTAATAATCACCACAATTCGCCAAAGAAAACTTAATTGAGATATTAGAGAACTTTCTAATGAATAATAATATTTCGTCTCTTTTTTCTGACTCCAAGTTTAATAAATTATAATGAAATGATAAAAATAATTGCATGTGATAGAGATGCCACATTTATCCCATCGAAAATTTAATTTTATTAATAACGAATACATTGAACGACACTGCGCCTGAAAGCAGTATTCAATTTGGATTTGAAATTTTAAGAAACGGAATTATGCTTGGTTGGCCGGTTGTCAAACACTGTTCGATTTTCGGTTTGAATGAAAGATGTCACGTTGTAATGAAATCGTAAAATGTCCAACATCCAATTCCCTTCACGATTGGGAAGAACATCGAAAAAAAACCACATTTGTTTTGTTTCTAACCGCTGTATTTCATTTTATAGTGTGACTGGAATTGGTGCGACTATGAAATGGGGAAAATAGCATTTCGATGTTTCAGTACACAATTTTATTGCTACTTGTGAACGAGATAATTTCAGCATTGAAATAGAAACACAAGCAAAACGACGAAGAAGAGAAAAAAAAATCATTTATTGAAAAAGAAAGTGAACTTCGGATCCAATCCATAAGTAGTATGTTTATTGCGAAGTGTGAGCGAGGTTTTTGGTGCAGAAACAGCACTTTTCAATTGTACTTTATACACACATGATGCATAGTGTATTATCGCTATTCTGTTGTTGTTGATGATGATAATAATGTTGCGCTCATCGATTTTTAGCATTAACAAAACAAGCAAATTGAGTACGATTCTCGGTGACCACAGCAATAAATAGAGTAAATGCACATACATCGTTTTCTTACTCTCGCTCTTTCTATCTCTCCTCTCATGTGTGTCACTTTGTCACCCGTGTCCGGGTCGTGCAAACATAAAAACCAAATTTACGATGATTAAACTGGGCTGACACAAGACAAACTCACAATCGCAACGGGATTATTCCAGTGAAATGGACACATTTTCAGCACGATTTTCTTTATGTGTGATCGATTCGAAAGGAGTCGATGTCATTCGAAATTTATGCTGACGTCAAAATTGTGCAGATGAACCAATTGAAGTTTTATGCACCAAATCTACTTTTAATTCTCATAGTTTCGTATCTTTTTTTTCTAATCTCAAATTTTTTTTTGGACTTTGATACACATTTTTGTTGTTGTTGAAAGTTCACTTTAAATTGTGTCGATAATTTTATTTACTTTCTAAATGCATACGATAGAGAAAAATGAAAAAACTCACCTTTGCTTCCTGGATGGCAAACTGAATTGCTGATTCGGTGTCCAAAGTCGATTGTGATGTTCCGATTTTATTCAATTTGTCGACAAGTGTAGCCATCTCCTCCTGCGATTGTTTTACAAATGATTCGTTTTCGCTCCAATGCAGCAAACTTTCCCAAGACGAAAGCAACTCTGCAAGTATTAGTACAAATTACGCGATAAAAAAAAGAGAGAGAAAAAGAGTCATTTATTAAAAAAATGGAATAAATGATTATTTACTTTTCATTTTAATCACAGAATAAAATGTTGTATGTAATGTTTGTTCGATGTGGAGACCAAAACAACGAACGAAAAAAGATGTGAAAACGAACAGTTAAAACGCAACGAGTTGTTAAATGCTATATGCATGAGATATCAATGTACAAGTTATATTACGATTCATGAATCTACCGCATGAGTGATGGGTGTGTGTGCGTAATAAAAATTGTTTAGAAAATGACAGAAGTGCAGTGCGAAAAAAATCAAAATTAGAAAGACAGGTTGCAGTTTTATTCACAGAGTATGCACGTTGAATGGCGCACGAGATTTTTTTTTTCGTATAAATTTCACTTATGCCATTTCAACACGAAATTCAGATGTTAGACGAACGTGTCGGGAAAAAAATCCACTTTCAAAGCTGGAAAGTGAATTAAGCTAAAATCAGATTAGCGGCCGTACAACGCGCTAAGCGCACGAACAACAAAAGGTTGCATGGTTATTTCACACGTGAACAACAAAAACTTTCCACAAATGCATTGTGGGCATTTTTTGAGGCATATCTTCATTTAAGAGGCAAAAAAAAAAAATTTGCAATCGAGTTCATTGACTACATCCGCGAAACGATTGCGTGGACGAAATGAACGCTCAACTGAGCAAAACGAATGAATCTGTATAATAATAATTTGAATCAATGAATGTGAAATTCGATCAATAAACAAAACAAGACACAATGAATTGACACGCTTGTTGTTATTGATATCATTTGTAATACGAACTTCGTACATATATGGAGTTTACAATCATATTTGGCAAAATTCCTTCCTACAGCTTGACGTTTCCTACAATTATAATCATGTCACGCGTATGAACTATTTAAGAATTGTAATCGGCACCGTAATCCATTCGAAGTTGCAATAAAAGTCTGCCGAAAATTGTCACCTTGAACTTATCTTGTGTACGTTAAAACAAGCGTAATTAGTACAAAGATAAGAGACATTTTTCGTCACACATGTAATACACACGTTCTCATTTTGAATTACAAATGGCACAATTCCGCAGGAAAAAAAGAACAACATGCGAGTTTAAGTGTGACGAAATCATGCCTTTCTTAATTTTTATGGCCCATTCTCATACAATGATTTTTGGATAGGATAGATTCGTAAGATCTCCGCAAGATCCGGATCCAAGCGTGCGTACGTAGCCGCATGATACATACATTCGTTATTTCGTATTGCTATGGCATGCGAGTCAAAGTAGGCGAAATAAGAAGAATGAATTTGCGTGCGTATTATATATGTATGCATCATGCGGCAGCGCACGCACGCTTGGATCCGGATCTTGCGGAGATCTTACGAATCTATCCTATCTAAAAATCATTCTATGCCCATTCTGATTTTGGAGATTGATGTTAAATACAATTTTTGACGACAATGCCGGTGACATTTACTCGATGTCTGTTTGTTGATTTTAATTATTATGCAAATGGCCTCATGTTCTTCATTTGATGGGTGCAAAAGATACATTCAAATTGCAAACGATGTATTTTAATGTAAGTGTCATTCATGTTTATGACTGCATGTGTGTGGCATTCGTTCAGCCATTTGAAAGTTGAATGTGTCGTTGTTTTTTTTTCTTGCTGCATTGCTAAAGATTTTCACATTTTACCAATGACAATTGTGCAGAACTGATGAAAGTCAAACGATGAATGCGGCCGGAAAACAAGTTTTGGGGTTCGGTTTCGCGACATTCCATCATAAAGTTGTTAGTGCTTTAGACATTAGCCCGAGCAATTACGTTGGCATCAACATACAAATTGATTGAAATCGCATGCATAAAATTGTGTTCATTCATACATGCAATCTATGATTATACACATTCCCTTCTATTTTTTTTTCATTTCTTATATATACACTTCAAGTAAGCGAGTCATTGAAACAAACACACTGTCAAGTGATGTCAAGCGATATATTCATTTCAGGGTGGGATCGAATAAATATGACACAATTTTATAGTAGTTACTCATTCGATTTATCAAATTATAGGCGATTAAACATAATAATAAAATATTGAATTGCATAAGCGGTAAAAGAAGCCACAACGTTTGGTTTTGCTGTCAATTTCAGCTCTTACGGAAATGAAATCAATTGAATTAGCTTGTGGTAGTGATTGGTTGTTGTTGTTTTTGTGGCAAGTTTTCTTTCGATGCGAATGCGTTTGCATTGGCTGCATACACACTCATAACACATATTGAAAAGTACATGAACTGGAAACACTATTTCAAAAATGGATTTGACACATGAGATGTACACCAAACAGAAATCAACGAAAATGAATGAGATTTTGATTGATTCTGTGATATATTATTGACTTTTCTACATTCAAAATGACAACTAAAACAGAATTGTGTGAGAAGCACAATCAAGCACGCGCATTTTTCTTCTGGCAAATCGAAAAATGAAATTACCTCGACATTTTATAGCATCTGTTTGGATTGCAATATCCACAGCCATTGTTCTGCTCAGCTTATATTCTGTTTGCTTTTCTATTCATTCGCCTAAAATACTCGACGATTTCTTGCGTGTGCGTGTTTTTTTCTCTGTCTCTTGTCTCGTCTTTTCTTCACAATTCAATTCGGTGTGTTGCACGTATGTTATTTTGTCATGTCTTGCATCATATATGAATTTTTTTTTGTTCTTCGCTCGCTAAATTTACTTAGCGATCCACGCGTGGCGCAATCAATTATTCATGAATCGTTCTTTCTTTTATTTTCGCCTTTTTCTATTTTCAAATTTGTTGGCTGTAATTACGGTACACGAAGAGAGAAAGAGCGCGAATTCGATTGACACAGTTTGGTTTTTTTGGAAATTAGACAGAGCACGCGAAAACAGGCGAAAACCATAAATCAAATCACTTATGCATATTTCGCAATATTACATAATTTACGCAAACTAAGTACCTACTCCGTCGGCAACTAGTACCAAACAATAGAATAAACGTTTATGTGTGCAATTAGATCGTCAAATGTTATCGTTTATTGCACTAGATTTATGATAACCTCATCGATTCATTAATGCGGCACGTTTTTGATTTTCTATTTTCATTTTCGTTGATTCACTTCACTGACTTCTCAAATGCAATATTATTTTCATGTATTCAACAAGCCTTGGGAACATTTTTTACCGCGGAAGCGAGATCACTGTTTTAATGAATATATTAATGAAGTTTTAACTGTTTTATTTAGCCAAAAATATTGGTGAAATCATGATTGACCTTCAATTTCATGAATTTTTTTCAACATTTTTCATTCCGCGTACTTTCTGTTGTCGTTCTTTTTCGTAACTTGTTTTATTCGTCGAATCACTGACTCGACTAACTAGTGTCTGGGATGTAAATTTTCTCACAACGATAAGTTTTTTTTTTCTTGCATTGAGTCGTAAATTCGAAAGCCAGATGTTAATTAGCATGAATGTTTGCAGTAAAAGACCGATCGATTGAAGAGAGAACGCAGAAAAAATGACGTAATTCACAACGAAGCAGCAAAAATCACAGTTTACAAAGTTTTCACAACATTGCAAACACCAACACCTTTGCCATCAAGTTTGAGTCGGTTCTTCGTGGGCATGGTATTTAAGTGAATCGTGTCGCATGCAATAATTTATAGTTCAATCTCAATTGAATTCGTGTGAATGGGCCGATAGTAACACCTTAATCGAAGAAACGTAACTTTTCATTCAAAATTGATAAGTTTTTCGATATGTCGAATGTTCTGTTTTTCTTCATTGGCAAACAGTTGGCACGAAATGTTCAGTCGGTCAAACACACAAATTGACCGAAATTGCTATTTTTAGCCACTGAATTCAAAAATATAGGGACCACTCACTGCGAACATCGCCACATACACTTCGAGATGCATATACCAAACGCAAGTTTAATCTCACAACTTGCATTCCCTTATGAATTTTTATTCATTTTCTAGACTAAAAAACCAAAAAAATGTGAAGCACCTCGAGGAAAAACACAGTTGAACAACTGTTTCGTGCACCGCACTAAATGATAACTAAATACTACGGTTTGGTTTCTGTTTTTTACGCGCTGAGTGAGATTGAAAGAGAGGAAAAAATACATACTAAATTAACGAACAAGCGATCAAAAAAAAAATAACAACACACGAGTTGATATAGTGTGTGTGCGAACGGCCCGTTTCAATGTATGGCCACAAACAAATCAACATAATACATCGTATCATATATATATTGTATTTAACTGATGAGTTTGCTTGTGTGTTTTTGTTTTGCTCTACCGACTAGATTAAACACGTAATTCTCTCTCACAACGTAGTTTTACTCTATAGATCCGCGTAGTATTTGTTTTGAAAATGTATTCGAGAATTCATATATTGGCAACTCAACAAGAAAGAGAGAGAAATTGTGTTGTTCAACTAAAACGTTTACAATCATTTTGTTTTCTTATTGCTGCACACATATGCACATATTATAACATACACGACAATCGGATTATTATAGAATCACTAGAGCGACTAGTAGTTAATGCGGTTACCATCGCAATTCTGAGTGTATGGCGCATACACACAACCACAGCAGGCGAATGCATAGCGTGAAAAGTGTTCATTTAGACAAAAGCAGAAAATGCGAATAACAAAAGCATTATATATTCTTTTATTTTATCGAGGTTATTTCCATCACTACAATAGCTCTTGAATGCCAAGATTTTTTTCATTCACTTTGCAAAAAGCAATTTCATGAAGCCGGCTTTTTCTTTCTGCGATGATCAATTGGCTATTAACTTAATTTACAACCGATCCGATTGTTTTTATTTATGGAAAATCGAATAAATTAACATATCGAATCAATTTAATTAGCCTTCGTTGGCATAACAGATATATTCATTAAGTATGTTGATTTGTCGAGTATTGATTGCGGTTTAAAGAAACCCGTAAAAGAAAAGCAACAACAAAAACGGATGCGGAGAAAGAATTTCGCAAATGACGAGCAAAAGAGAATATTTCATTTTAATTAGTAACAAAAAAAAAATTATATATAAATGTGCCAAGTTGGTTTAACATTTCTATAATAATCAAAGGTATTAAATGGTTTTTCCATTCGAAACAATTTGTTTTGACTTATTATTCTTTGCGGTCTGGATTTAACTGCATTTCATGCCATTTACTTCTTTTCATTGTACCGTACAAGTAGCAAAGTAATTTAATAGCTAACCGATTACATGGTGGCCGGCGTGCATTGACACTTTTTTCTCGCAAAATTGGTTTTGCTCTATTTAGTTTTGTTTCTCAAGACCGATAGAACCAGTTTAATGCATGAAAACACAAAATCCAAACATATCATCCACAGCATTTTATAATTGTTGGACAACATGCTCGTTAGCGTTTTGTACGTCACACGGGCGGTATGTAATTGAAGTTCAAGTACTATCACAAGATGGAATCTAAGCTAACGAGTAACTAAACGACATGCTTCGACAAATTGCATCATTTTCAACACATTTTAAATGCATAAATGTGACTTTTTTTCATTTCTATGGTTTTAAAATGACAAAGGTGGTCAATCGATAAAAACAAGAGATTTTCATGGTGTGTAATCTTTCTAAGTAAACAAAATAAGACATAATCACAAAGAATACAGAATTATAAAAACGGAACCGCATTGGAAAAGAGTGATGAAAGAAAAAAAGAGTCTAAAGTCCGATGAAAAACTTCTTCAAAGCATCTATGTTTATAAAACTATAAACAAAAGCAAACGAAATGTAAATAACCTTTTGAAGCAAAAAAAAAAAAACAGAACTGAAAATAGATTTAATAGGCCTATTGCAGCAGTTGTAGAAAAATATGGTTGCTCCATCCAATCAAAAGACCTTTTTACTATTTGAGCGCAAGTTTATTTCAATGGAGGCGCCATTCACTTATACATCTAACAAAATCTTATTCAACAAACTCAATAAGTATATATATATTACAATCTATTTTGTACCTGATAGATCAAAACAACTCGTGCTATTATAACTTATTCAAAATCACTTTTTTTCGCGTCTCATTTTGGATTTTTTTCCTTTGGCCTCATAAACTTATTGGTAAAATGCGATAAGTTCGAATATTTTTCAACATTTCCAATAGTACTTTTGACAATGGCCAATTGTTAATTAGAAATTCAACAAATTCAACGACACTGCCGCCGACAAATTCGACAAAATGAATGATATCATCGCTACTACATTCTGGAATAATGACTAACTCACCTCTGATCAATTCGTGCCGACGATTGGAAAGCAATGAGCCGCCTGGACTATGTAAAACCGTTTTCAAGCATCGCATATTCTCACTGCATGTCGCAATTATTTCGGTCTGTGCAAAAAGAAAATGCAAATTTTGTTTTAATATCATTTAGCGAGCGTTTTACAAGTAATTAACGTCATCAACGTCAATTATTTTGTGTATTTTTTTTTTTGAGTTCATTCACACTCACATAGTCTTCCGAATGCAAAAGATGCCGACGAATTTTGAGCGCTTGTGTATTTTCAAGATCGCGACGGCTTTGATTTAGCACAATGTCGATGTGTGTTTCGTCTTCGGCATCACTGCTGGCTGCCGATGACGATGATGATAAGATTTCCTTTGATTCGTTTGATTTCATGCGACGACGTTCGTTGCCGAAAAATGCTTTGCTAAACTCCATTTCCAATTTACGGCTGATATTCGCCTTTGGAGTTTTTTGCGATTTATGTGATGTTCGTGATTGCATCGTATCTGTTCCGTTTGATAATTTGCGACGTTCTAAAGAAAATGTAAACAATTTTTTTTATAAGAATTAAAAACAAATGTAATCTCATTTATATTTTATACGTTCTAAGAAAGTTATGAATGTTTTGTGACTAGTGAAAAATATGCTTACTTAATCGAAATGAAATAACTTTTCTGCAGCTAGTTAATCATCAAGTAACGTGAGAAAATGATAAACAAAAATAAACAAAACGCAAGCGTTTTGCGTCTGTTCTTGAAAATGTAGAAAGTATATCGCAATTGCTTGCGGTGCACATTGCATAAGATCGAAAAATGACAAAGTGAGAAAGAACGAAGAATAACGACGTCGACGACTAAGACGAAAAGCGACACAACAAAACTGTTTGGTTGAGACGGTGACGGTGGTGGCGAAAAAAAAAATTACGATTCAGAAGAGTTATGCAAAGAGCAAACGAATATGAGTGAAAGACACGCGAATCGTGATATTCATCTTGTTAACATTAAATTGAACAACAAATTATTATAATTCATCTTTATATTTATGAAGACAAGTGTGCACAATGCGCACAACACATCATTTTCACATTACAACAACGGAAAAATGTGTAACTCATAACGGATCACGGATATGTTTTACAACAATTTAATACAGAAAATCGGTGTTTTATCTGGTAGAAAATATGCCAACTCCTCAGAATTGAGCTAATTGTATAAATTGAGTTCTCACATTGAATAATGGTGTCTGCATTAAATTAGGTTAAATTTCAACTAGAACTATTATTTTAATGGAAGAGCTACCACATTTTTGCTAATAAAACAACATACCTTCAGTAAATGGTTTGCGATGATTTTCCCCATGTGTTCTGCGTCGCCATTCGATTTCAAATGCACGTCGTTTGCGCATCGCGTTATCCTCATCCGATGGTGATTTACTGATCGGTTTATTAGGTATTTGTCCACTACCAATCGGTTTCCTGCCTCTTGGTGGTGACATAGAGTCCAAATTATTGGCAGCTGACAACGATGAGCAGCAATCGGATTGTGAATCGATGAAATTTCTGTAGTCATCGCCAAATTCGAGCAATTTTCGTGCTGCATCTGAATCACGACCTTCTGAATATGCCTCAGACAAGTATTTCTCTTGGTAATCATCCCAAACTTGATCGATTTGTTCAGATACATTGCTGTTATCTTCGGTACCAGTGAAGCTTAATTCACGAGTGTTTGTATTCCCTTTCAAATTGTAAAAAGCAAGCGGTGCCAAATTGCCCAAATGTGTTGAATTGAACATATTTGTGGTGCATGCACCAACTTGGAAATTCGGTTTTGGCAATGTGATTTCATCTTCATTCTCCGTTTCGATTGCAACACTTTCAACGGTAACCGTTTGTGTTTCTTTAATCACCAAATGGCCTGAGAATGATTCCGATTTCATCAGAGAGCTGTAACTTCCACGACGATTTCCACCGCTTGCTTCTGAAGCATTCGAACCAGATTCGCTGCGTTGTTTCTTCTTCAAGCGCATGCGACGCTTTTTCAACGAATTTTTACTGTCCGAACTTTTCATTCTTAAGCTTGATTGTGATCCGATATTTAATGTATGCAATGCTGATTCACTGATCGAATGATTGGCCAAGCCTTGATTGTTTGCATCGTCCGATAAACAATTTGTTGGTGTTTGCTTGGTGAGCTGAGATATACATGAAACGGATACGGGACGCTCGGAATTACGGCGATTTGTTCGTGGCACAACTTTGTTTGTTTGACAACTTTCTGGCGAATCTTTCAATAAATCAACTGATGTTGTGATCACTTCAGTTGATGTGCATTGAGATTTATTTCCAGTTGCTTGCAAACATGTGGTTGCCACCGAATCAGCCAATTCTTCTGATCCATCCGAATCACGAGCATCCGATTCGGTCGTGTATTCACATGAAGCTTCACCATCTGTGTTCAGTGTTGGCACCGTTAATGTCTGTTTTGGTTGGCTTTGATTTTGTAGCCAGTGCTCGACACGTTTATATTTTGAACTGTTTAGCGAGTGGACAGTTTTTCGTGCTGAGACTTGCGCATCGGCTGATTGACGACGGCTTCGAACGGGAGTTTTTAAGAGTTCATCACGCACCAAATTTTCAGCACCCATGACCAATTGTTGAATGCTCTCCTTTGAGTAGGCCTGAGAATTTGAAATAGAAAGAGACATTTTTTTCATATCCGGAGATTAATTTTTTTAAGTCTTTCGACAAAAAAAGACTTTGGCTTTAACGCTTGGTCTCTTATTGAATTATTCATTTACCTTAGGTATTTCCTTATAAAGCCTCTTTTCAATGCTGCTCTTCACAACGACTGATACAGGAGTTGATTGCATTTGCTGGTCGAATTTTTCATTTTCATATTGCTAAACAGGAAAAATACCATTAATTTGATTGTAATTTTGATCAAAAAAAATCTAATTCGTTACCTCTCGCTTGGCAAATGGGCTGTCAACCGTATCAATAATGGTATCATTTACATTCACTTGAATCGATAAATTGGCCAAGTTTTCATTATCAATAGTGTCTTCATTGTCATTTGAGTGGTTTCCATTGACATCGCTGCCTTTTGAATATTCCCATTCTTCTTCCGAACACAATTCGCTGGTGGCCTGTGATGACCAATCGTTGCCGTTATTTTTATGGCTGCCCGTTTCTGGTTCGGTGTCTGTATGATTTTTTTAAATTTAATTTCATAAACAATGTTTTGTTAGTTTGAAATATGTCATTCGATTGAGAAATATTTCATTACCTGAATGTTTAAAATAGAATGTGCCGCAATTCTTTGATTCCCGATTCGATCGATTAAATTTTGTTGCGTCGACCTTTCTCTGACGTTTAACGCCTGCCATTTGCTTGCTTGGCATCGGCGGCAACGAAGCTGATTTCGATCCATACAAATCGGTTTCTGTGTTTTGCGTCATTTCCTCCGTATTATTCGATACGTTCAGAGGATTTCCATTATTGTCTGTTGATGCTAAAAAAAAACAAACAAAATTTAATTTTTTCCCTTTTGACTTCAAATGGCTTTTGAACTTACTATTTGTTGCTTGTTCTTCAATGTTGTTGTTCATCTTGGGCATTAATTCACTGTCGCTCCCTTCTGAATCAGCGTCAAAACCATTCGTTTGCACATTGATCACTGTATCATCGAAATAGCTTGGAAAACGACAATCATCCTAAATAATAATAATAAAAACAATATTCATAACGCACATAAGTATATTTTATATTTTTAGCATGTTTATAAAAAGATGATGATGTGGCACACTTACATCGTCATCAGATGCCTGTTCGTCGGTTAGTTCGTAAAATTTTCGTTTCGATTGGTTTGGGTTTATCGATCTCCGTTGATGATTCTCCGCAATCAAATCATTTGTGAATCGTGCTAATTTGGCTGCCGGTCCCTCATCTACTTCGGACGATGATGATTGAGACGCTGAATTCTGCAATTAAAAACAACGACAAATTTCATTTCACAAACCGACTTTAGCATAAACATGGAGCGGAGAGCAGTTAGTTTAATTATTTGATTTTAATTGGTGAAACAAAGTGAAAGAAAATTAAACGACATGCATGCGTACGTGCGTCAACTACAAAATGTCGCGCACCAATCTCTCTATTATGATCAAGAATGGTCATTTGGGTCAATTAGAAATTGCAGTTAACCGTTTGCTTGCCATAAAATCTTTAAATAAGTTGTTTAACGTAACAAATTAACTCAAATTGGCTTGAATCGAACTCGCACGCAATTTCTTCATCCTTTTCAGGGTATTGAAAGAGAAAAAAAACGACAATGAGCTGCGTTTAATTGTTCGTGGAAAAGTACAATCACTTACGTATATTGACATTGAGCCAGAGCAAATTCAAGTTATTTAAACTATGATAAATGATCTCATCGAAAATGTCAATGAGAGAGATTGATTTCAATTGCAAATGCCAAAAGATCTCAATGGAACCTATTGAAAGAAAAAACCGCTTTTCATACAAACATTCTTTCGTGTTTTATGTTTTGCGATAATTTTCATTCTTTCAAAGTGTTGCCAATTTTCCTCCTTTTGCAACTTAAAAATTGGGCTAATTGAAATGAAACTGTTGAAAACCAAAACGAAATAGAAGTGCGTGTGCACTTATTGCATTCTCACGAAGTTCAAAATGTATGCCTCGTAGCGTTGCTGCAGTTTATAAGTGCAAAAATAGCTCAAGAATGTTGTCGATTGAGGAAAAAAAAGCAGGGAGGCCACACGGGCACATCGACGGGCATACAAGCAATTAGAAACACGAAAGAGGAAAAAAATATGTGTACGCGCGAGTCGAATGGCCCAATTCCTGAGGAGTCTCGTTGTTGGCACAACATAAATTTGTATGGCACAGCTGTATAACGCTGATACTCATTCAATCAAATCTCAATTGCAACAAGACCGAAGTAAAATCGGAATCTATTCTCATGCCATTTAATTTACAGGCACCAAGTACGCCACCCAAATGCCCAATCGACTTGCGCAATTCGGAAGCGCTATAAAAAACCAATAATCACAATGTCCTATTTTTATTCTATATACTTGAGCGATTTGTACAAATATAAACCAAATCAATCTCTTTTAAATGCGGCGTTAGAGCGTTAAAGTAAATTGAATTTGTACTGAACATGCGGAAGAAAGCGATTCAGTCAGTTTCATTCTTTTTGTGTTTGCTGCAATGACAAAAACACGAAGCAAACAATTGTGTGGGATGATGGAGCATAGTGATAGTAACAGTTAATGCGGAAACAAATTATGTTGTTTATATTGTTTGTAATTGGCTTTGGATCTAGCGTTACATTCTTAAACTCGGTTTAACCATAAAAGTTCATCGAATTCAGTTTCATTCACTTTTTTCGACGTATGTTATCGTGCGCGTTGATCGAAATTCAAACAAAAGTTTTCCAAAGGAAATTAACTTCTTAAATAGTTTTTTTTTCTTGAGCATTTGAAAAAAAAACTATGGCAAATAACTGCGGCAAATTTCTTTTTTAAGTGACTTAGTTTTTCCTTTTGTTTTACAATGTCATTTCGATTTTCCTTTTCCATCGTATTCTTAATTAAAATCAAACAAATGATATGCATGTTACGATTAACCAACCTGTAAATCGTCGTTTTTCAGTAAATTTTCAAGCAACACCGAAATTTCAAATGATTTCAAATACAATGAATGATAGCGACGTTCAAGCGCTTTTAGATTGCATTCATTGTTTGAATTGTTGCTGCTGTGGCTGCGTCGTGTAATGTGCGTTTCCAATGATGAAAAACAATTATCGTCGTCGTGCGGCAGTTGCTGTTGTTGCTGCTTCTGTTCAAGTTCGGATTTGAAATTGTCTGTATTGTTCTGTAAAATGAACGATGTCGGCGTTTCACTGCAATGTTCCCGTTGTCGCGACAATGATCGTGTACATGCGCCAATTAATTTTGCATGTTTTCCAATTATACGATATAATTCCTGTGGAAAGAGAAGAAAGAGAGAAAAAAGGAACAATTTAGTAGAATTCAAACACATTTAATTGATTTTTCTTTCGCATTCTAGATCCGAACAATAATAATTTTCTTTAGGTTTTTGTAGTTTAAGCGGATGTTTGCTTATTTCGTGTTCGCATTCAAAGTTCATACTAAATGAACACACACTAAGTGCGATTAAGGAATAGTTCACTGTTGTGCATGGATGTTGTTCGAAAGGCACATGTGCAAGTTTTGACATGGTTCAGTGCTTGCGAAAAAAAAACCCGAAGAAAACTACGCTACAAAACTAGTCGCTCTCTCTCTAACGAGCGCGCACACCGAATGAACGTTGAACAGCAGTTCATAAAAGAAAAATAAACATTTAAATTGATGGATTGTTCTATAAATTGCCCTGCGAAACAAATGATGCTCAACCATAATTTTAATGCTCAGTACGAAATCGTTAGTAGCTGTAATGCTATTACAATTTATGGCTCTAATCGAAGGTATGTTTACATCGTGCCGAGTTCATTGACACATGCAATGCTTATACAGCTGAATTTCGACATGTTTTCATCTTGAGCAAAAGCATAATAATTTTGTCGTTTGTGAGTTTTAGTGTGTGTGTGTGTTCTTTGAATTTTACACTCTGTTCGCGTTGCTATGATCGATGGCTTTGCACATATTGACACATGGAATGGATTGAACGCAAAGCGCACACCAGCTAACAAATCACACAGCGTAGAAGTTCCAATCAAGTGTTTGTGTCCGGGCGATAAAGCGATGAGAGAAAAAAACGATATTATGATCATAAAAAGGTCCATTAAGTAAATATTTTCAGCATGAAGTCGGGCAAAACAAGATTGCTGATGGCCACAAAAAAGGCAAGAAAAGTAAGAGTTTTCATTTTGGTATTTTAGTCGATTGCAAGTGTTGCATTTTCATTGCAAAACACATTTTTATGCCATCGGCAATGATACATGGCTACTGTTTATTGAGATGCCTGCTTTTGGATTTTGGTTGTCGTTGCCAACATTTTGCAATTGAAGAAAAAACACGAGTGTGTATCATGCATCAAAATGAATGCTTTATGCATTTTCTCAAGCAATTTAATCGATTTAATGATATGGCATCTCTTTACGTTTTCCGTTTTTTTTTCGCTTCTTACTTTTATTGTTATTAATATTTTTTATTACTATTGCTCTCGTAAGTGGGTATCATTTTCATGTTGTGGTAAGTGGATGTTTGTTTTTGTGTCTGTGTGTACAAAAAGGCTGTTCTTCAAATGGCGATATTTCAAAATAATTTCAGTTCGCCAAATGGAATCGATAGTTGGTTGTATCGCAGCATTTGTGACAGTGTGAGAAAAAATAACGACTTGCATGATTGAAAATATATATATAGTTATCTTTCGCATTTTTAATGAATAGATTGTAAAATTTTACAATATCGTTTTTTTTTCAAGCAAGATTGGGAAAAGTCTCTATATGTTTTCTTGACGACCAGCTTTATGGCCTTTGTTAAATGAGCAATAAAGTTTTTGCGCATAATTTTTTATTGTTTTTCTTTACCCCCTCCCACCTCTTGTATCTCTCGTTTTTTTAATGAAGTACTACTACTGGATCATTATCCAGCGATTGCATAATAACCAATGTATTATGAAATTTTGAGCACATTCTAACGGTTCCAAGGAACTGCTGCTGTTGCGCTGTTGTGTTGCAATTAAAATCCACTGGGATTGTCTCGTACTCGGATTGTCAATCACACTGACAACTTTCATATAATGAAGAAAATTACAGTTAACAAAATGACTTGACGGAATGGCACTAATTCAGTAAACAAATGTCAAATGCGCCATACTAAATGTAGCCGTTAATTTCTATGGTACAAAACAAATTCATTTGTTATATACGGTGAGCACATGCTCTGACATTTAAGAAAAAAATCAACCGAAAAATGCGTGCCTAACATTTCAAAGCTTGCGACTTTTTGGTTTCTTCTTCATCTTCTGTTTGGTTTTTTTTCTCACGTCTGCATAATAGAAATATGAATCAATCAAGCATTTGGATGGACTGTTGAACAAGTTGCACTGCAAAGTTCCAGAGTCGTTGTGTTTCGCTTTACGGCGACGCCGTCCCATTAAAATCACATGCCAAGTGCTTGGCGACGATTGAATTTCTCACCGTGTGCTTAAAGTAAATTAATGAGCTCATTGGATGTGTTTGTTGTATATGAAATGCAACAACCTTTATCGGCGGCGTGTTTTTTCTTACTCTCCATTTGAAATGGCGCACACAGAGAAAGAGAGAAATAATCACTTTTCTCTCTGCATTGAATATGGGGGAAAATCCAAAACAAATGCGGTGAAAACGTGCAAACTCACGAAATATAAATGGTCGTTCATTATGTGAACGCAACGCGCAAATGAGATGAAAATAGCGAAAAAAAAGAACAACAAATCACCGTTTATAGCTTTACATAATATAAATTGTGTGTGTGTGTTGGAATGATGCCTTACTACTCCAAACTAAATGAGTCACTTTGTCCATAAATGCTGCAATCCAACAACGATTCGCGACCACTAAGCAACATTTTGAACCTTTAGAAATATTCCCAATTGAAATCTTAATGTTGTCTTTCTAATCTAACATATGTTATCTTAACGAGGTAATTGTAATTTCGTCGGTACAGTGAATGTGTGGTGGTCATAGCCTTACAAAGTCAGCCAAGTCCAAAATGCAAAAAGCAAAAAAAAACTCAATCCCATAAGCATTCGATCGAATAGATTTATTGAAAGGGACTATCGAGCAATGCCGGTGGTGAATTGCTTTGGGAAATCTCGTTAGATTTCATTTTGGTGTTTGTCGTATAGGTATCGTGCAATGCACACGTTAGTATTCAATTTTTTTTGTGTTCAATAAGATAGCTTTTCTTTTTAATCAATACAACATATTAAAAATGCATAATGCTGGCAGTAATCGTTAAACGCAATCACCGAATCAGTCAGCAAAAATGTTGACTATGGCGTTTCTCTATTCAATTCGTCGTTGGCAAATGCAGCTCATTTGACGGTTTGACTTTTGCAAAAAGGAATAAACTTCACTACTACGTCATTGATGACTTGGAAGTTTTTCCACAATCGCGATTGGCAGCTTTATTTTCCTACTTGTGCTGCTATTAACATTGCGATAACATCAAATTTATCACATTAAAGACAATTGAGCGCAGCGAAAAAAACCGTTTAAATATGATTTGGAGAATTGAAAAAAAGCCAGAGAAGAAAAACGCAACACGGCACAAAAAAACGAAAATGAATATTAAATGAGCGATAAATTGAGTCAGATATCGCACACTTTTTACTTCAATAACAATGTGTGTTTACGAAGCAATTGACTCGACATCGATCTCGTAAGGCGCTCATACTCGACGAAGTCGAGTCTTGCACATTATATCGTGAGTGTGTACGGAACTGAAGAAAGAAGAAAGAGAGAGAGAGAAAACTGCCTCAAGTGATTCTTATTGACGTTTTTTCCAAGTTTATTTTGTGCATAGTGAAATCGTACATTTATAGCAGCAGTTTAGTACGATGATAGCCGTAAAGATATAAGTGCACTACAGCATCGTGTATACTCCGAAATTGATTATATTGACATGTGAAATGTATTTGGAAATGTCACAGCTGGAGTGAATTCTTGCATATCGACATGCAAACATACACCGTCAGCCCAGGCACACCGTTAACGATCAATGTCTTAAACAAACAATACCAAACGGCATAACGACATGGATCCAACCATTGATTATGCTACATCATTGACAATCATCCGCCTGTCGTAGCTCACAGTCGTTTGCGTGATGTTTAATTGTCTTAATAAATATGTTTGGTTAAGCATTCAATGTAAATGAAGCTGACAAATGTTTGTATCCAAGAAAATTATGAAAAGTGATGGCTAACATCACTGTTCCCAGCATGCACCACTTTCTATCAATTTTCTTTGCTAAAGAGGCTTCAACACAAATTCACACACCCAGCTCGTGCATTTCAATTTCAATTTAGTGAAATTGATATTGGAAATCATGCATAATTCTTTTCGAAAATGAGACTTTAACGAACCAATCGACAATTTATTTTAATGACTTCTTATTCTTCGATAAATATTTGTCCAAGTGAATGTACTACACAGGTCGTATTACACACTCTATTTCATACTCATCTCCCTCTCTCTCTCTCTCTCTATCCACATTTCATATTTGGGTCGTATTAAAACCTGAAGACAATTTTGAAGATACCCTTATGAAAATGATAAGTGATGCGTGAAAATTTATTATGTTCATCGCAAACACGAAGCCGAATTGCTATTTTTCGGTGGTATTATTTCGGTTGATTAAGTTGTTTATTTGAACGCGCTGACATACAAATGTTCATGTGTTTTGTAATTTAAGGAATTTCAAATAATGCTCTTCAACTTGAGCAACAACACGTAATCGGTATAAAAGTCGGGCCCATTGTTCCATATTTTTTGCATAAACCTGTTGCTTTTTGCTTCACTGCGTTTTCTCTTAACAAGCTTGTTGTAATAGAATTTAAGCTGGTGAGACCTTTTTTTGCATAAGACATTCCAACAACCGAAAACTGAAGATATTCTTTCGCCGACCTTAAAATTAGATGGCTTCTTGAAACTCGATCACATGTGGTTTTGATTGCGTGTGTGTCGACGTGACAAGATTAACCATTTCACAAACAACCAGATTGAATCGCTCATAAACTGGATCTCATGCTAATGAATTTCACACTAAATTTGTCCGTGTTCTTTTCTTTTTCCACATTGCACAATTGTGAAGATTTCTTTTTTTGGATCAAAATTCATTTTTTTTTCATAATTTAAAAAATATTTTTATATTGTGAAAATAATTAAAAAACAATGTACAATTAAAATGAACAGAATATCGTTGTTAATTTGAATGATAAAATTCGATTTTGATTCTATAGTTTTCAATTAGAAA